TCATTTCATCAAATATCGACGACATTTTTATTATCGAAACTCAGCCAGCTCAAAATACGTGTACTACTCGATAACCAAGTCACTATGTAAGGAAACGCCAAATTGAAAAATCTTATAAGAAAAAAAAATACTTTTATAAAAGCAATCACATCCTGAATTTTTTGTAAAAAAATCTTTTAGGTATTAAATCTATTTTTAATATAAGTTACATAAAAAACTATTATTATTGTTATTGAAACTGAGCTGAAAATATATCATTTTGTTTAGGAAATAAATTGTTTCCCATAGAAAATAAGACTTTACTCCCCAAGGCTAGTAAGCGGAAAATATTTCATTCATTTTATTTTATTATTTATCGGAGCCGGCTCTTCTCGTTCAGAAATAGAAAAAAAATGAAGCACAATAATTGATCTACAACCAATATATTTCTGTATCTATCACATATTAACTTGAATTACCACAGAGTTATTTTTAAGCAAAGCCACTTTATATCAATTTATCGAGACTAATTTTTGATATAAGAAATGCACAAAGTAACAAAAATATTGAATTTTTCAATCCTTTATTTTCAAGGTTTGTTTTAAAAATATTGTGTCAGACGATATCAATAAAAGCATGTCTAAAAGAGTAAAAAATGTCAAATGTATTCAGTATTTGATGTATTTTAAAGTTTAATATATTTTGTTCTATTGGGCCAATTTTGATGATTTTTTAACCAATATGTAGTTAATTTATTTGACTTTTTAATATTTCTGCACAAACTAATAATCACAGAATTTAATAAAAACTGACGCAGAAATAGCTTTGAAAGTGGTATAATATGCTTACCAATCAAACTTACTTCTCTGACTGCAGTTAAGGGTAATAAAGGACCTTTGTTACGTTCTCTCAAAATAGTTTACCAAGGGAGCTACAAGCTCTTTGCTTCGACTGTTTAAATGCTTCTGCATATTTTCAACACACAATTTCAAGAAATGCAATACAAAAACTCGAAAATTTAGTTCTTAAAAGAACTGTTTGTGTTTACAAGTGCAATTTAAAAAAAAACTATGAAAATAGGATTCAACAAAATTCAACAACAATACGATATTATACAAAATAATGACTGACATTATGATAATTGTTAAATAATAAACGACAACGTTGTTGAATACGGCACAATGTAACCAACATAACAATAATAAAATTCGTTTTAAACTAATTTTCGCAGTTTTAATCTAAATAAAATATCTGTTACAATCAAGCATTTATTTGCCAAAATTTCTTTTAGTCAGGTTTATAGGCTTTAGTGTAAATTTCGATATGATTGATGACGTGCATCTGAAAATGTTTTGCTATTACCGTACATAAATCATAAACACTATTTCACAGGTCTGTTGACTCGGACCAAAAGCAAAGGCGTGTTTTAATGTAAAAATGACGAAAAAATGTTAGTGTATTCTTCAAAAGCTTTAAAAAAAATAAAGCCTATTGAGATAAACCAAAAAATAAACTATCGAGAAAGGATATGTAGCTAGATGATAAAGTGATTTGTAAATTCCTTGCTTTTTAACATATTCCACAGGTTGTTCCAGTATGTGTTTCAATATGTGTTGAACTGTCCAAATTAAATATTCCAGCATTATGCTGGTAGTCGATATCGGGATGTTGAAGTTATTATTGCCCAAATCGCTGGGGATATTACCTCTATATCCTCTACTGGGAAGTTTGCCGGCAACAAGTCATTATAAGTTTAATTCAAAGAGAACATTTTATCGACGCGGGATTTGTTTTTTACATGTTGATTCAAGGATAATTCGAATTTCGACACACCAAAACACGTAAAAAATTTATTACCCTTTTAAATTACTCAATCATATATTTCAGGGGCGTGCGGTTCATGGAAGCAGGGGAAGCGCAATTTTCCTATACTTCTGACCCTTAGTGTTCTGATTATTAAAAATGATTCTTTTTCGTTTATACAATATACAGGGCGCTTCAAAAAATTATGTGTCATCTCTGGTGGAGAGATTCTTCCTCGCGTAAAAATAAGATTTATTTTTTATATCAACCGATTGTGCTTTGTTTCGTAGATATAAGAGGTTAAAGTCTTTTTTTTTCGATTTATTATAATTTTCTTGAAGTGCTTTTAGCAATTCAAATTGAATTTTGGGTGTAAAAGTTACGATATATCCTACATACCCTTCGAAGGCCCATCGAAAACGTTCCGCAAGGCATAACGGCTAGGGTAATTTTTTTTCAGAAAATTCAAAAACACGTCAATTTTGTTTGTGAGGGGGACAACTTTTGCCCCAAAAATTATTGCAAAATCTTCAACCCTCTAAGCGAGGGTGTCATCCCCCAATATTTTTCAAATGGGAAGGGGGGTCAAGTGGTACCGCAGTGAAAAGGGCTTTCTATTCTCTATACTTTCCTGCTTCGTTTTTGAAAATCGGTCGAGTCGTTGGGAAAAGATGAAGGATTGAAATTTGAAAAGTTTATTTAAACATTTATCAGAGTAAATCATAAGGATAAATTCCTTCGACCAATTTGCTGTTTTTTCTTATTATTTCTAGATGTTTGCATTCGGGTTGCGCAGATATTCAATGAACGCCATCCTGACAAACACCTTAATGGCAAAATTGTTCGCCAGTTAGTAGCAAAATTTCGCGAAACTGGTTCCGTTATGAATAAAAAGAGGCAGAAGGAAAATCCTGTAGTAAATGAAGCTATGGAGGTATTCGTATTGGGCCAAGTTGCCGTGGACAGTATTCTGAGTACAAGAAAATTAGCCAATGCGACCGGCGGGAATCGTACAAGTTTCCAAAGGATATTAAAAAAACACAAGTTCCACCCGTACAAAATTCAGTTGGTACAAGAACTCTACGAAGACAATTTTGATCGTTGCTTGCAATTTTGTGAAACTATAAGTGAACGAGTGGCGAATGATAATAATTTCCTATTTAATGTGTGTTTTTCGGATGATTGTACTTTCTTTTTGAACGGTGTAGTTAATCGGCACAACTATCAGTACTGCGCTGGACAACCTCAGGGATTTTCACGAGGTGCACACACAAAACCCTCAGAAATTGAACGTGTGGGCTGGTATTTTTGGAAATACTATTGTGGGTCAGTTTAACGATATTGAGAAGAACTTCAACGTACAAGTCACAGAACAGCTATCTAGCAACTACCGCACCTGATCGTTCAACATTGTGGCAAGGGAAAAAATGCTTAAACATCTAGAAAAAATAAGAAAAAACAGCAATTTGGTCGAGTTTATCCTTAATTATCATTTACTCTGATAAATGCTTAAATAAACTTATCAAATTTCAATCCTTCATATTTTCTCAATGACTCGACCGATTTTCAAAAACGAAACGGGGAAATATAGAGAATAGAAATTTCTTTTCATTGCGGCGCCACTTGACCCCCCTTTCCATTTGAAAAAAGTTGGGGGAAACCCCCGCTTACAGGGTTGCATATTTTGCAATCATTTTTGGGGCAAAAGTTGTCCCCCTCACAAACAAAATTGACGTGTTTTTGGATTTTTTGAAAAAATAAATACCCTGGCCGTTATGCCTTGCGAAACGTTTTCGATGGGCCACCCTGTATAACGTTAAAATAGTGTCGACAGCTTTACCATTTACCATTTAGGCACATGCATATTGGTTATCATTGGAACGTTTTTTCTAAAAAAAACATATGCGCCACTGGCTTTTTTTCCCTTGCTAGTAAAATGATGTGGACCATTTAATGCCGATTAAGATTGAGATGAGATTAATAATCAACTTGATTGAAATGAGATTAATAATTAACTTAATTAACAAATAATTAAGTTGTATCTCGGTATTTTGTCGATTTCGACCTCCTTGATGAGATAAACGCAATTTTATTAATCACAATTAATAAAACTAAAATAAAATTAAAATAAAATTAAAGTATAATTGATATAAAATTAAAATAAAATTAAAATAAAATTAAAATAAAATTAAAATAAAATTAAAATAAAATTAAAATAAAATTAAAATAAAATTAAAATAAAATTAAAATAAAATTAAAATAAAATTAAAATAAAATTAAAATAAAATTAAAATAAAATTAAAATAAAATTAAAATAAAATTAAAATAAAATTAAAATAAAATTAAAATAAAATTAAAATAAAATTAAAATAAAATTAAAATAAAATTAAAATAAAATTAAAATAAAATTAAAATAAAATTAAAATAAAATTAAAATTAAAATAAAATTAAAATAAAATTAAAATAAAATTAAAATAAAATTAAAATAAAAATAAAATTAAAATAAAATTAAAATAAAATTAAAATAAAATTAAAATAAAATTAAAATAAAATTAAAATAAAATTAAAATAAAATTAAAATAAAATTAAAATAAAATTAAAATAAAATTAAAATAAAATTAAAATAAAATTAAAATAAAATTAAAATTAATAAATTTAATAAGTTTTTTTAATTAATTTACTTTATGTAATTTATTAATAAAAATTTTATTAAAATTTATACTAACAAAGAAAAAATTACGAAAAAAATGGTATTTTAGATAATTCTAAAATACCTATTTTTTAAAGTTTTATCATTCTGTAACCTTAAAACTATGCATTTCCGCATCTATGTCTATAGGAATTTTTTATATTTTTTGATGAGAAATCAATAAATACTTCCAAAATTATTCAAATTTCGCATGTGTATTCAGCATAGGCAGACTTTTAAAAAACCTATTTACGACTAAAACTTGATTTTCATGCATCCGTTATCCGACGATACGTTAATACGATATTAATTTTATTGACTGATTTGTCTATAAGACTTCGATTGGCTAGAAACGGTTAACCAATCGAAGTCTTTAAATTCAACCAATAAAATGAATATCGTATCATCGTATCGTCGGACAACGGATGCATGAAAATCAAGTTTTAGCTGTAAAATTAAAAGGAGAGCCAATATTTGTTCAGTGCAAAATTTGTGCTTTACAAAGGTAAAATAGTAAATTGTTACTTACAGTTCTAGGATAAGTTCCAACGGGTTTTTGCAGCTTTTGATCAACTGGTTGATAGGGTACCCTGTCTATAGACCTCCATTCTTTATCCTTCCTCTTCTGGCTATAGTACCGATAGATCACTATGGTCATGGCGATCAGTAGAGCTCCTCCGGTACCAATCGCAGCACCTAACACTGCTGAACCAACCATGTTGAAGATCTGTAACATAAAGATTCCTCATTTATAGCTCATATTGAGTTTTAAGTTATTGTTGTAATGTTAGAATAAATTACATGAATCAATTTAGTTAATCAATGCACAATAATTTTAACAGTTTTTGATCAATAATTCGAACAATTCCAATTTATTTTATGAGTTTCGTAAAAATTTGCACAAATTTGAGTTTCTATGAACAAAGAAATGTTCTAAAGTTTTTTCTAGTTTTTTTTAGTCCTAAGCATGTTTGGGTACATTGAGACAAAAAATTATTGCATTTTTTCTTAGAGTCAACGATTCATTAAATTTCGAGTATATAACATCTAAAAACTATAAAAAAAGTTTAAAACATTTCTATGTTCATAGGGCTGTTAAATAGGGCATGTTAAAATTTGGGCTCATACTTGAAGAACTTTTTTTTGAAGTGTCTACTAACATTTTTTTCAGAGTATTAAGCCAAAAAAAATAATCGATTTTTTTTTGACCCGCGCTAATGTACAGGGTGGGCCAAATTCGACGCTTTTAAATGGAAACACCCTTTTCTATAGGAGATAGACGAAAACTAATATCGGTGTCTGGAGCTCAATTTTTATCAAAAACAGGATGGTGAAAACCGTACATCAATATCTGTTACCGTTTCGGAGTTACGGGGTGTTTTTCAAAAATGTGCATTTTTAAAAAATCGCTTTAACTTTTTTGCTATGGAAAATTTTGTATTTCTATGAAAATATTTCCAAAGCACCTTTTTACGTAGAATTTAATGGTTTAAGTATAATTTTTTTAAAATTAGTAATTTAAGAATTATCAACAGAAAAATTGATTTTTTATTTGGGACACCTTCTATATTTTTAATTAACTGAAAAGAATTTAAAATTACCTTTCCAAAAATATAGCACACTTGATATTTTGTTATAATCCCCTTTGAAATACAGAATTTTTAAAAGTTCGCCTCTTTTAACTAGTAGGCTTTGGATCCCTTATTAATGATATGCCCTTAATGGAACTCGAAAACATATTTTTCCAGCAAGACGATGCACCGCCTCTGAACGCTGAAGTTATCAGCCAGTTTTTGCAGCCAATTTCAAGAATAATTGAATAGCTAACCAAGATCCCAGCCGTTGGCCGTCGAGGCCGCCTGACTTAGTGCGCATGGATCTAATCCTATGGATATATTTGCGGAAGAATAAAGGTTCCTTATTCTTCTGTATAATCTAGACAAGAATTAGAAATACTTAGCAGTTATGAGAGGGTATCTTTCACCCCCACTGAGTTAATGAATTCCGCAAGAAATGTTCAAAAACTGCCCCGTCTGTCCATAACAGAAGACGGTCGGTATGTCGAACACCTGTAGCAAAATCTCATGTCCTGGTTTGCTATTTATTTTTATTCTTATGAGATATAGTTTAAATGTGTTGATGTTGGTTAAATATATTTTAAATTATTATAAAATTCTGCATCTCTCATAGCAAATATTATTTTCGTTTTAATTGATGCTCACAGCTAGAATTTTTTTGCATTATAGCCGGTGCCGTTCAAAGCCTACTTATTTAAAGCGGGCGAATTTTTATATACTCTATATCTCGAAGAGGAATCGAGTAAAATATCAAGTGTGTTATATTTTTGGAAAGGTAATTTTAAATTCTTTTCAATAAATTAAAAATATACAGGGTGTCCCATATAAAAAATCAATTTTTCTGTTAATAACTCTTAAATTATTAATTTTAAAAAAATTATACTTAAACAATTAAATTCTACGTAAAAAGATGCTTTGGAAATGTTTTCATAGAAATACAAAATTTTCCATAGCAAAAAAGTTACAGCGATTTGTTAAAAATGCACATTTCTGAAAAACACCCCGTAACTCTGAAACGGTAACAGATATTGATGTGCGGTTTTCACCTCCTATAGAAAAGGGTGTTTCCATTTAAAAGCGTCGAATTTGACCCACCCTGTACAGGGCTGTAAGTAAAAAAGTTCTTATAAATGTATGTCCAAAAATGCTTAGTTTCGGAGATCAGGGTGTAGAAGTTTCATTTTATTTCGATTTTTTCCAAATAATTTCTGAAGTAACGAATATTTGGATGAAAATGATTGGTATCTGGGAGTTTTTTGATATAAGAAATTTGATTTTGATGTTAATATGATAGTTTGAAGATTAATAACTTTTCGTCCAATCCTGTATAAAACTACTGAGTAAAAAAATATACATTCACAACGTTTTTTACGTAGAATAGGTCTCTTGGTAAAAATTGCTATTAGTAATGGTTCTCGAGATATTTGTAATCGAAATTATCAATACCTGTCGTCATTGACATAAACTAAACATCATGTTGACTAACTAAATTAGTTAATATACTGAAATCATATTTGAAATCTTTTTCTGCCAAAAGTTCAATAGAAACTGTTTTATCGTCATTTTTTCGAAGAAAAACTTATGATTAGTTTAAAATAATAAACAGTTCCCAAATTTATCATTTCAGTCCAATAACTATCTACTCGACATTTACTTTTTGTCAATAATGACATGCATTGATTATTTCTATTCTAAATATCTTTAGAACGGTTGCTCGTAGCGATTTTTACCAAGAGACATTTTTTTACGTAAAAAATCACGGGAATGTGTATTATACAGTAGTGTTATACAGGTACTGTCGAAAAGTTATTACCCTTAAAAACAGTTGCGCCTCCTACATATAGGAGTCATATTACCATAAAAATCAAGTTTCTCATGTCAAAAAACTCCCAGAAACCAATTTTCAACTAAATGTTGACGTTACTTCAGAAATTATTTGGAAAAAATCGAAATAAAAAGAAACTTCTAAACCCTGTATCTCCGAAACGAAGCATTTTAGGACATAAATTTATACGAACTTTTTTACTTATTTTTATCTGCAGAATATGCTGACAAAGGAAGTTTCCGGAATACAGTTCGGAGCACCCTGTGTAATATGCTGTTTTAATATTTGGAGTTCACAAAAAATAAAAAAAAGCTCGCATAGCAACAAAAATGAAGAAAAAGATGAAAATATTTCACTATTTTTCTTCTGAAAATATTTGCCGTGCTCTTTTGACGGATATATTTACAATAGAGCAAAGAATGAATACTAATGAAATTAGTCGTCGAGAAAAAACAGCATGCTTTATTGGATTTAAATCTTTATCAGCAGATCGGAGGACGCTTTGAATACGAAATTCGCTTGTCAAGCGGGCAGACGCTGTCGTTCAAAGAGATAGCTACTGGAATCGCTCAAGATTTCATTTCTGAGCGTGCTTTCGTTGTTGAGAACTTGCGTGACCCAACACCTAATTGACAAGTCAATTGTTTGTTCGGTTATTTAGTCTATTCTTGCGGTTTATCGAGAACTACTATTTTTTTAATACTAATATTGAATTCAATGGTATATCCTGTATTTTTTTCCGTAAATGACACTATCCAATTTTATACTTTGATAAATATAGTCTGTCCAATGATAAGATCCTTGACAGTGATAGATGTCTTTGTCATTTTAATTTCAAAATAGTTTATTTTATTTTACAAAGAAATAAATTGGTACAACTGGAACGCATAGCAGGAAATTAATATATTTAAAATTTGACTGATAAGTGATTCCTTCAAAATATTGTAAAAAACTATAAAACTGAAAAAATACAATCGAGTTATTTTATTAAAAAAAAAACGGTATGTGTTAATACAAAACAAACAAGAACAAAACACCACTTAGCAAAAAAAAATATAAAAAAGAACTATTTCTTACTTTCAAGCTTCAAGAAGCTTTCCGCATTTATTATATTAAGTTTATCAATATAACTTATGTACAAATACAAATTTGTAATATTCCACAGGAATAAATAAAACAACATAAATAAGACAAACTATTTTATTAATAATAACACTCACCAAATTTTATTATAATTATTTATTAATTATACCTTAAAGGTTGATTAATTAACTTTAATCTCAGTTTTTTTAAACCAGTACCTTTTGACATTTTTCTGCAGTACTAAAATCCATTATTTACCTCTCGTGTGATATTTTACAGATACTCCGGCAGTATATTATAGTACGATCCTTGTGGGGGGGGGGGGCACTTATCTACGACGAGATGGTATACACTTGATTGATGGTAACTTTATTGGTGTATAAGACTTTCTGCCTGGGTAGCGAGTATTAACTATAAACTGTGCTCTGGGTCTACAATTAATTTTTCCTTGATTTTTCCTCCACTTGACTTCAAAAGACACAAAACACACGTAATAACACGAATCAAAATGCATCATCTTCCACAACGCAGATATTTGACATAAGTTGACACAAAATTATAACCTATAATTTGGCAAGACTTTGACAAGTCTCAAAAATCTAAAGGCGAGTTCATACGTATCGGCGTCCGTTTGTCGTTCATCATTCCGTCCTATTCCGTCAAACTCAAAGTCAAACTAATCTTTTTATTCAAAACGTGAAACCAGAGAATAGGTACATTAAAGAAATGCTAACTTCATGTTAAAAAATGGAAACAGACGCTACCTGGTGTCGCCTGGCAGTACTAGCTAAATTGAGGGGAATTGGAGGGGCGGGGCTTAAAAGAGGGGAAATTAAAAAAAAATATATTTTTATAAAGTATCACTGACTTACTGTTTAAAGTTAATAAACATATTTTTTATTACTTTAATATAATTTAATGTATTAAAAAATATGTCTATTAACTTTACACAGCAAATCAATGATATTATTAAAGGCTTATTATTTTCAGAGAAAATTCATAGTAAATAAATTACACATTAGTAAACAATATCATTTATTTTTTAGAGCTACGATTTATATTACAATAATATTGAAATATATATATTTTTTTTACGATGAAAAAGAATATCCCGGAACCTGAAAAAGAAAGATGATCAATTAATGACTTAAATTAGTTCAAAATACATTTTGCAAATAACTAGTGAATTGGAAAGATAAACATACTATTAAAAAGACATTTTAGTAGTATATTATCATCTAT